ACATGTATGCGCACTGAGTGATCGTGAAGTCTGTTTATTAATATGCCGTTCATTTTCAAAACTTAAAAGCATCTACAGAAATGAATAATTTTTTTTGTCAATGCCTGTTTCAAACTGAGGACCCTTCTGGTCCAGGCGCTGCTGATAACGCGCTGGAATCGCAACATCAAGAATCACTTTGTGCGGTATCTGTGCGCCGTCAATTCGTCAACTGTTGCCGGTTTTGTACCGTAAACTTTATCTTTTATGTCTCCCCAGACAAGAAAGTCCAGTGGATAAATTTTCTTTGTTCAAAGCTTATTCTGGCTTCACCCATTATTTCAAATCGTTTAACCCGAAAAGGAGTAAAAATTGAGCGAATTATCTGCTGTTAAAGCGTGTCTACATTTTTATACACACTTGGATAGAAAGGCAATGTTCGTACTTCAGCTGCATTTTCAAACTTCCAGGAGCATTTTAGGATGAGTTTCCTTTGTTCAGAGCTTATTCTGGCTGAAAAGAAAGAAGGATCCATTGAGCCCCAGGCGTGAGAGTGTGGCACGTGTTTTGGGACACCCTGTACATGGCAGAGGGAGAGGGCGGGTGGGACCAGTCCGTGTGTGAGGTCTGGAACAGAAGCAGGAAACCCGTGGAGTTTAGAGGTGGTTGGATTAGTATCTTCCAAATTCCAGTCACTCTGGACCTCACAATTTTTGCCACATCTACACACATCTGTGCTATTATTTCCTTCCTGTTTTTCTTTATAGTGACTCAATGTTTTCCTTGGTATTTATTTAAAAAGCAAATTTGATATCATTACTGCAAATGGGAAATGAGTATTATTTGTCTTAAGTAAAAGTAGTCATAAAAGTAAAAATGGTGCCCTAGCCAGCTTTGCTCAGTGGATAGAGCATCAGCCTGCGGACTGAGGGGTCCCGGGTTCGATTCCGGCCAAGGCACATGCCTGGGTTGCGGGCTCAATCCCCAGTGGGGGGTGTGCAGGAGGCAGCCGATTAATGATTCTCTCTCATCATTGATGTTTCTCTCTCCCCCCTCTCCCTCTTCTCTGACCCTCCATTCTCTCTAAAAAAAAGAAGACGAAAAATAAATGAAAAAAATATCCTCGAGTGAGGATTAAAAAAAAGAAGCCCTAGATGGTTTGGCTAAGTGGACGGTGAGGGTAGGGGAGGGGGGATAGGTAGGGGTGGGGGAAGGGGGGCAGCACCTCGCCCTGTGAAATCACACCTTGGGTGCGGGATGCCCAGTTAGAGGGCTGTGTCCGAGACTTGACAGGCCCCAGGCATTGCGACCCTTGCCAGCTCCCCTTTTACGAATTATATCTCTTTATGGCCCTAAAGGGCCTTTCCCTTTCATCTAAATCAAAAGCGATTTAGATGAAGGAAAAGACCGGCGAAGCAACCACTTGGGCGAGCCTGTGTGCATGTTTGCTTTCAGCAGCCGGAGGACTGCCGGGGGAACGGGCCGTGCACTGCCTCATTCTGTCGCGGGGCCGTTCTGGGCATGTTTGCTTTCAGCAGCCGGAGGACTGCCGGGGAACGGGCCGTGCACTGCCTCATTCTGTCGCGGGGCCGTTCTGGGGCCGGCCCTTTGCTCTGTGCCGTCACACAGCCCACTCCACTGGGTCTCCTGCTCCCCCGCCCCCCGCCCAGGCTGGTGTGTGTGGGAGTGGACGTGGAGAGAACGTGATTGGGAGAGGAATTTCACTGGCCACGGCTCATCTGATTCAAGTGTCAGAAAACCCATTCAAAGTTTGTTCGAAATTCTTGTTTCTGGATGGGAATCATCGGATCCTGTAGTTGAATAGTTTCAGGTGCAGTTAAATCCAGAAGCTCACCTCGCGGCAGGAACATTTTTGGACTGTTGTCTCCCAGCTCTGCCGTCCTTTTTCCCCCGCGAGCGAGGCCTTTCGCCATCCTCAGAGCGCCCAGCCCAGAGGGGCAAAGTCTCTTTCCAGCAGGTCCGGCAAAGTCCCAACCTGATTCTCACTGGCCCCGACTGGGTCACATGCCGTTCTGGGTCCAATCACTGTTGCAAATGGATCTAATACGCTCAGTGCTTAGGTGGGTGACAGTCCCACGCAAACCTCGTGGGTGAACCAGGAAGGGAGAAGTGTTTCTCCAAGAGAAATCGAGGTGCTTTGTGAAGAAGAGGGGTGTAGATGGCCACTGCAAACACGTTCTATGGACCCTGGATAACAAGGGGGGAAAGGTCACGGATCTCGCGGACAGAAAGACGCGGAATAATGCCGATCTGACATTCCCTGACCCCGGTTCTCAGAGCCCGAGGTGGGCCTGGAATGTGCCCTCACGCCTCCTGAAGACACACTAACGCATCATCCAAACAGCCTCTTCTTTTATGGATTAGGGATCTGAGGCCCAAAGGAGATGGTGTCCGCGGTGGGTGGCCCCGGGGGGCTTGCCTTACTCTTGCCAGTTTTGTCCTTTTCCTACTCGGCCCATCACCCCTCTTCTTCTTGTGGGGATGATGCCTTTAATCTCTCCCTCATTTTTCAGACGAGGAAACTGAGGCACGAAGAGAATAACTCCCCCCAGGTCAGACTACAGGGACCGCAGAGCCAGCGTGTTTGCTGGTGGGTGAGGTTTCCCATGAAGGAGGCTCACCATTTCCCCAGAACCCCGTGCGCTGCCCTGTCACCCCTCAGGCCTGGCAAACAAACCACAACAGACAAAAAGAAGCCAATGAAAACAAAAACACAGAAAGAAGATGTTAAGATGCACTTCGGAAAGTTTGCTTGTTCGCTGTGACATGACTGGGAGAGTGGCCAGGGGAAATCTAAGCTTGGAA